AGAGGCGAGAAGGGTTAAGTATAGGCTAGAGATCGAGTGCTAGATCGACTCATCCTAGCTCGATCTTTACTAGATCGAGCTAGTGAATCGAGAGGAGTCAGTCGATCTAAACGAGATTGAGCAGACAAATCGAGTGGAACGGTCGATCACGAGAGGATAAACCACCTATACGTTTAGCTTGAAAAGAAAACGAGGTGTAGATCGACCGAGTCACTCGATTCTCAAAGATAGATCGAACAGTCTACTCGATCTGCCACTCGATCTAAGCCAAAACGACCCCAAAATCGATCATGTGGCTCGATCCAAGGAGTAGAGCTTAGTTGACAAAAAGTCAAGGAACGAGAGGATACAATCGATCTAAGACTCGATGCAATTTGAATCGAGTCCCTGATCGACTAAACCTCTCGATCCGAGCCAACATGGGCATGAGATCGACCAAATGGACTTGATCTCGTGCCGAGGTAACAATTTCTTTTCCCTCTTTCCTTCTTTCCATCATGTTTTTAAATTCAAATCTTGGTCAAGACAGGAATCTTTGACCATGAAAGATGTGCCTTGACCAAGCTTTTGTCAGAAATCACTCTTGCATGTGTCCAAAATTTTCTTGTCTTTAAAACCTCTTTCTCTCTTTTGTTTCTTCACTTTGAAAACCCGATTTTCACAAAACAGAGAGAGAGAGAGAGAGCATTTGAGTTTTAAAGACTTGTGCATTTCATTTTCCTCTAAATTCAAAGGTATTTTCGTGTTATTTGATTTGCTTGCTTAATCTTAGAAGAAAATCCTTTTCTGTTGTGATTTGAATGCTTGTGTAGACTAAGCTAGGGTTCATTGCTTGCTTTGAGGGGTATGGCTAAAGTTTTTAAAGTAGAACAACCTCTTTGCATCCTAGAACTTATAACTTGGGCGTTGAATCGATTTCTCCATTGACATCTTTTGTTTTGAGCTTCCACTTTCAAACCTCTCTTCCTTCTTGAATTTTGTTTGCTTGAGGGCAAGCAAAAGGCAAGTTTGGGGGAGTTGATATTACTATATATTTTGCATATTTTGCATGCATTTAGGATAGTTTTTCATGCATTCATCTTGCATTATAGGCTAGTTGCACCATTTTAGGTCCTAGAGCACTTTTGCATTAGCATTCGCATGTTTCTTGCATTGTGCATCATATTCAGGTTGTTTTGGACACTTTGGAGCTGTGGAGGATTCATGGACATGCTAAGGCTCGTGAGAAAGCTTGTGGACACTTGGAGAACTCAACCATTCAGCAAAGGACTTGAGATCGAGTTGCGGATCGGGCAAGGCAGGTCGATCTGGACGAGATCGACCAGAAGATCGAGTGACCCCCAGTCGATTCAAGAAGAAGATCGAGCATGCGATCGAGTGAGGAGGTCGATCGAGAGTACGGACGTGGGCCATGCCATGCAGATCGAGTTCCCGACCCGATCATCAAAGGATCGACTCAAAGATCGAGCGAAGTAATCCGATCCAAGATCGATCAGAAGATCGAGTGACCCCCAGTCGATTCAAGAGGAAGATCGAGCATGCGATCGAGTGAGGAGGTCGATTGAGAGTACGGACGTGGGCCATGCCATGCAGATCGAGTTCCTGACCCGATGATCAAAGGATCGACTCAAAGATCGAGCGAAGTAATCCGATCCAAGATCGACCAGAAGATCGAGTGACCCCCAGTCGATTCAAGAGGAAGATCGAGCATGCGATCGAGTGAGGAGGTCGATCGAGAGTACGGACGTGGGCCATGCCATGCAGATCGAGGGCCAGATCGAGTTCCCGACCCGATCATCAAAGGATCGACTCAAAGATCGAGCGAAGTCATCCGATCCAAGAGAGGATCGAGCCGGAGATCGAGTGACTCGAGTCGATCCCAGATTAACCTTATCCGTCCATCTGGTTTTGGCAGCTAGCGAAGGGGGGACCATTTGCGGTTTAGCCATTTTTGGCAAACCGCAGCCATCGCTTTCATTATCCTCCATTCTGTCTTTTACTTTTTCGCTCTCCTCTACCTTAGGCGATTTTCGCCATTGTAGACTTTAAGCTTTTCTTGTATTTTGAACCTTTGAATCATGAAATCATTAAGTCTTTTGCTTTAATCCATCGTTTAATCATGATTAGCTGTTCATCCTTTGCATTCTGTTCGGTTTTATTTATGAATCGCGAGTAGTTTCCTTAGGGTAAGGGGTTGAGGCGATTCGAAAAGGGTCAAAAAGGTTTAAGTTCTGTGTTTTCCTGTTCTTCATACCTTCTCTTATAGGATCTTGGGATCTTAAAGCCTAGAGAGCCTTAGAAAAGGTCTCTATGAACGAAAGGCTGTCTTACCTTGACAGGATTTAGATGTCCTGGAAAACCAGATCGTAGAGGCTAATCCTTCCTTTCCCATACGCCATGGTTGTTTAGGAGATTAGTTAGGTCATTATTTGAAATCTGTCTTTCTTGCTCTTCGATCTCTTTTCCAACCAAACGCCATGGGTTTCGAGAAGAGATTGAGGAAGTGAACCATACCACATGCCATGGATGGTTCTTGTTTTGTTTTCAAAGCTTAGAGAAACCTCTTAAAAGAGTAGATCTAAATGTTTTCAAACCAAAGCTTAAATCTTTGATACCCTTGAATATGACCCTCAACCCTAAACCCTCCTTTTTAGCATTTTAAAACCTTTGTTCATCCTTCGCTTGTCATTAGCTTGCATCTTGTTCATCAAAAGTCATTTCGCTTAAAGTTGTTTGTTAGATCGATCTCTTTTGCTCGATCTAGTGCTCGATCCAGTGGTTGATTCACTAGTCGATATTTAGTTTTTAGTAGTTTTGCATTTTTAATTTTCTGCTTGTTCCTAGTGATAGTTGACCTTCTTCCAGGGATTTTAAAATTGTTTTGCATTCCATTAGGTCGTTGCATCTAGTTTTCCTTGATTTTACCAATCATTTATCATATTTGCTTTGATTTGCTTCATCCTTGCATACTTAGTGGCTCTTCCTGCTCCCTAGGTTGGATTGATTCCTCTTGCACACTATACTACATCTATATGTTACTTGAATTTTGATAACCTCCTGCTTGCATAGTAAAAATCTTGTTATCAATAGTGGGAAGTGATTCCCCATTTGGATTGTTTTTCAATCTCAAAATTTTTTCAGAAATATCACCTAAGTGTCATATTAGGTCTCGAACCCAGATCTTCAACAATTCAAGCAAATTCTTAGATCTCCAAACCAGATCTTCACATGCATATATGCACATCCGCTCCGATTTATAGTCATCCATTACTCTAGTTAGACTCCAATGGTTAACTAGATAAGCTTTGGGATCTCGACTCTTTCGAACATGTAACTTCATTATAAACCCGGGTAGCCCTGTATCTTATGTTATAGATCTCCAACAATGTAAACAGATACCCGAATATATGGATGTCTAAGTTTGAGCGTGTGGCCTTATAAATCAGTATGCGGTGTCTTTTTGTAGGTGGCAGTGACTTCAATAAATCGAAGGCGAATTCGATGACCCCAAGATGTATCACATGGAGATGCTATCTTCACCTTGCAGTCTTGTTTGTTCCTATTTATGGCATGAACAGCTATCTTCACCTTGCAGTCTTGTTTGTTCTTGAACACATGCCCCAAATACAGCTCATCTCCCTTATATGCCACATCCAATATGACATTCTCTGTTTAATCCAATCCTGAGAAAACCCGTCTATCAAATACATTAGATGTCTTTAACTTTTTTTACAATTCAATGTAATGTTCTTTTAGCAGCCATTCAGATAATCATCCACTAATATTAATAGACAGCTATATAGCCTCATATACTAACATATATTATAGTTATCGGAGCAATAAAAACCCATGAAAGAAAATAACACATTATAATATAATTTATGGGTACGCGATCCGTTAAGTAAATATAACAATCTAGGGAACAACATTACTTTTGGAGACGAATATAACACTCCACTAATGTTAATAGACATCTACAATACACTTATATCATTACAAATCACCATCATTTTCAAATAATCCGCTACAAGTTTATATCCGTCCCGCACAAAGTTTATATCCATCCAGCAACACAAATCGCCACACTCCCCCTGCATCTTTCATCCACCACCCCTGTTCTGCCTGCACTAGATCGCCGGGGACTTCCCAGAGTGTGCACCATTGTTGATAACCCCTAACAATGTCAGTTTTACGAGAATATTGTTATTAATAACAGCAACACTTCAAATTAATACATAGATATTCATAAACGACATGCCCGGATTCAGAATATGCGTTAACCTGATTAATTCGGTTGTAGCGCTATATGGAATTAGAAGCAAGGAACTAGTGTTTATGGACACTCCACAAACCTAAGTGTACCCATATATTTTCATTTTTCCGCCCACTCACTCAAAAAATCTTGTTATAGCATTACTAAATCACAATAACTAGCCATCCCCTCAAGTTATCTCATGCATATGTCAAGCGGCGTAAAGATTATCTTGTCTCCTCATTTAATGCTAACTGATGGTTATCTGATCTTGTCAACACCTCTCTCTATTTAATTCAATTGTTCATAACATATTCAGGAATTTCAACAGAACCACGCATAAAACATGGCAGGCTTCATAATAAGATGAACTGATTTTTTTTTTGGCATCCTTTAGCCATTTCTTTCTAGCACATAAATATCTTGTTATTTCTTTAATAAAAACTTGAAACTTAACCATCCACCTTTTTATCCCTAATTTTTTAACCAAAAAGTAACTTTTGCAAGATAGGTCTGTGCGCGGCGACCAAAACCTCAAATGATGCATCCGATCAAACTAAGGACCAACCTACAAGTTTTAGTTCTTTATTTTCTTAGATAGAGTTTTAGGTTTCTTGCATTAGGTTGTGAAAAACAAACAAAAAAAACTTTTGGATAAAATTAGTGGGGAGAAGCCACATAAGAATGTAAGAGTGTCACTGCTATGAAGAGGTTATCCACCTTATCCTCTTAATTCTAAAAACACATAGTTCTATGTCAACGTTCATGTAACTTTAAAAAAAAAAAAAAAAGTTCATGTAACATTCAGTTAATGATGCATGCCGAATTAGGAACAGATTCGTCTTATCTAAAAGAGTACATTTACTTCTCATTAATGCGGAAATAAACGAGTGCCTTTTACATGTGTCAGGAAATAGAAGTTAATAGTATGTTACCCAAACTTCTCTTCTTTCCAGATAATAAAGATAAACAAGCTAATTAATGTCCTCCCATGGCGGAAACTTTGAGAATATCTGCTTCCGGCGGTGGAGAAGGGAGCACGGTGAGTGCTAAAACTCCACTCACGGCCGCAGCCACCGCCGCCAACACAAATCCCGGAATGTTTCCTCCTCCGAACATCTCATCAAACGGTCCTGCTCCCACCGACACCACCATCTACATATTCATCATTAATCACATGCATTCAATAATCCATATTGCCTTTTATTTAACTGATCAATTCCAAAACTATATGATAGTTATATTATTAATTTATATAAGAACTAAATATATAACCTGAGGTACAACTATTGCAAGATTTAAAACCCCCAACGAGAGTCCTGCATGCAACAAAGTAAAATATAAATACTCATATAAAATTAAACACATGCATGCATATAAGTATAACACATATGTAAAAGTTCATATTCAAATACAGAAATATACAAACTTACCTTGGCCAGCACCAGAAGAAGAAGAAAATATCGATGCCAAAGCGAAAGGAATGCTGTAAGTTATCTGAAAAAAGAAACATTAAACAAAGATTGAGTTTCGAACTCAATATTTTGTTTGCTTTTTTTTTTTTTCTCTGCCAGATGTTTATAAATTGCGACCAATTACGTGTTTCTAATGTTTAAAAAATTTAAATGAAATAATAATAATTATTTAATAAAATTACAATAGAGTGGACGTACAGCTTGGGGTACACCGAGGAGAGCAAAGAGCGACAAAGCCCCAATTTTAACACCAACCGGCGGAGGAACTGACTCTGACACGGCAGAGCCACGGCGGCTCGATTCAGCCAACTTCGTAATCAGCACCGTCATTCCCAAACAGAAAGCGAGAATGAAATTAACGATTCCCCATAACCGCTTCACACCACCAACGCCTCGGGCCAACCACTCAAGCCCCAAAGAAGTGATTCCGAGAACTACGGAATTAAGCATCAACCCCAACGCGCCGGCGCGTACGCCGATATTGTACACGCGCCGAGCATCGTCGTTATTTCCACCTGAATCACCACCGTACACTTCTCTTCCCATCCAATCAGTGTCAAAGAGAAGAAAAGGAAACCAAGCAATCCAGTTTAAACACGTCACCACTAAAAGCATAACCATTGGTCGTTTCATATCCTTTACCGCAGCGAATAATTCCCCAAATAACGGAAGTTTAACAACTCGTGTAGACGCCGTTACCTCCTCCGTTATCTCGTTCTGGTCGTCTACCTCTTCTTCTTCTCCGCCGTTTGCCTCAGTCTCCGGCGACCACTGTTTTTCGTCGACGTACCAGAGAGCGAGCACCGTAAGCGTCATCAGAAGGAGAATCGAGAAGAAGAAACAGCTCTTGAGATTGGCGCAGTAAACGTCGCAAGCTTTCGTCATCGTGAAAGGAAACGCGTCGTGGAGATGCGTGAAAGCTCCGGCGGCGAATCCAAGGACATTTCCGACGGCCATGAAAAAGGAGAAGAAAGAGTTCGCCGTCCTCGTCTTCTTTCCGCTTTTACAGGAGAGATCGGCAAGTAAAGCTCGACAAGGTCCTTGAAGCATGTTGTTCGCGACATCGAGGATCCAAAATCCGACGGCGAAAATAGCGATTGCTTTCGATTTCGGCGTCGCCTCGACTCGATCTCCGAACATCGCACCGACATCGGCGGCGTAGCCAATGAGAACGACGGCGATAGCGACGAGCCCAGCTCCGGCCGCGATAAAAGGACGACGGCGACCAAAACGCGATTGGCAGCGATCGCTATGGTAACCAACAATGGGCTGAACAAGCATTCCGGAAATGGGCCCACATAGCCATATGAGTGAGGCCCATTTATGAGGGATGCCTAGAAGCTGAACGTAAGGAGTGAGAAGAGAGAGTTGTAGGGCCCATCCGAATTGTATACCGGCTGCGATTGAGGCAACCGCTATTGTTTGTTTCAGCGGTGAAGGAGACACCGTCTGCGTTGGCGTCTGCGTTTGGGAGAGGTTAAACGACGTCGTAGTGGACTTCTTCATGCTCTCTCTTTTTTCTCTCACTAGATTTTTGAAATGTTGGATGTGGAGAGAGATAGGGAAGTGGAGAGAGTATAAATAGGAAGGAGAACTGAAGAAAGGGTTTGCATGGGAAGGCAAATGGCGGGAGGAGCTTATCCATTTCGTGAGACTCGATAGTGAACTCTACTTTACTGTACTATCACACGTGTGACGTTTTCATTAATTGCTAATCCTAATAAATCTAGGTTGATTTTGTTATAGCTAGGAATATTTCCTTTATTTTATTTTTGTATTTTTCCTCTGACTTTTTACGTAACCGTAAACCCACTCATAAATATCGAGAAACATACGACAAAAGTTAATAAATAAGTTCTCACTTCTCAGAAACAAAAAGAAACGGTTGAATTAACAAATATTCATAATTTAATACTAGAAATTATGATGGCATAAATGAAAAAACAAATTCTCCTTTTCAAAAAAAAAAAAACAAATTCTCCTTTTGATGGGACAAAAATATACTTTCTCTATTTAGTAAATAATGTAATATTAATCCTATATAGAAATATATGTAAACTTTTTTTATTTATTCTATTAGTAATACTGTAAATAAGTCTTTTTCGTTAATTAACGAGTAAAAATATTGATAAAAAATAAAAAAATAAAATAATAAAGATAAATTTGAGATTTAAATTTAATCTTCACTAAAAACATAAAACAATATTTTTTGTGAAACAAAATTATCAAAAATAAAATATTAAAATAATATTTTTTTAAACTTTTTGATGATATTATTAAAATTAGTTTTGGTGATTGTTTACCTGTTTAGGCGTTCAAGATATATTGGGATAAATATTTTCAGATGTTAAAATTATTTAGTTTTGTTATTGATATCCTAGTTAAATATTTTAGTCTTAAATAATTTTAGGCGGTTTTAATAATATACAAATAGTTTTAAGTTTTTACTTTATAAAGATATAACTTTTAAAAAGAAAGAAGAATATAACATATCCAAAAAAGTTAAAACAAACACGACATATTAGATAACGATAAATTAGATGTATACGATATGACACGAAAAAAGTAGAAATACTTTAAATAACAGATATAATAAATAAGATTTGTCGAATAATTAGAATCTGTCGGATGACTAGGATCTGTCGGATCACTAGAATCTGTCGGATGACTAGGATTTATCGTATGATTAAAATCTGTCGGATGAATAGGATTTGTCAGAAGATGTTAAAACGCTTCAAACGTAGAATTCAATCCTTTAAAATCAAACATACAATTATTATACTTAATGCGGATGTGATTTGATGTTGATAATTTTAACGAAGTTGAATGGCCTTTTAGTGCTTCATATCTATCAAAAATGTCATCCTTCACACAGTAAAAAGGAAGTTGCACCACTCCCATACGTGTGGATGTCTTGCACATGTCGAAAAAAATGTGAAGTAATGATGAAAGTTTTTAGTTAGAACTCTCAAAATCCGAAGTAAAAAAAGCATAAATTGTATTAGAAGTACCAGAGATGATGAATGCCACGATTTTTCAGAATTATTATATTATTATTATAGTCAACTCTCATTAAAATATAATGAAAAATAATAATTATAAATTTATCTTTTTAAAAAGAAGTAAATTAAAGTTTTTAAAAATTTACGATATTAATTTTATATTTTATTAGATTTAAAATTATTTATTCGGATCGAGATCAGAAATGCAACTATCTAAAAATAATATTTTGAATATATGTACATATTCAGAACATAAATACTAAATTATTTATATAGAAAAGAACCGAATTTAATTTTAGAATTATGATCAATATAATTATATATATATATATCTTCTATACAGTAATTGAGATACATTTTTAGAGAATAACTTTAGTTTTGTAAGTATTTACAGTGTGTGAGTATGATGATGTCTCACCACTATAGAGCTTTTCATAATTTAAAAAACAGTTATGTTACTAGACTAATTACATAATATTCCATCTGTTTCAAAATAAGCGTCATTTTGACATTTTTCATACAAATTAAGAAAATCAATAAAAGTTCTATTTTACCTTTTATTCACACACAAAATAACATTATCTTTCTAATTAATACGTTAATATAACAAGATTAAAACAGAATTTTTATTTAAAAATTTACATTAGAAAATACAAAACGATACTCTTTGTGAAACAAAAATAAAACTCTAAAACGACACTCTTTTTGAAACAGAGGGAGTATGTCATTATACATTTTTTGTTAGACTAACATTTAATGTAAATACATTTTATTCAAATATTAATCTTTCCATGCTAATATATAATATACAATTTACATAAACTAAAAGATAAATTAAAAAATTAAGTCAATAATCCAACAAAATATGTTTAAGTTTTATAGTAAAATATATATATATTTTTACATGCAAAATATTTTGATAAATATCCTAACTATTATAAGTATTATTTGATAAATTATATATTAATATTCACATGCAAATATAAGATTGTATTCAATTTTTAAAAATTCAAATTAAATATATTATTACAAAAAAATTAAAACGTACTTTGTTTAAAAACCATTATGTGAAAAATGATTTTACTATAATGTATAAATTCACTCTAACAAAAATTTGGGCTAATTATTTACATGCAAATATATGATTGTATTTAATTTTTTTTAAAAAATAAATATATATTATTACATTGAAGCTAAAAAGACATACATTTTAAAACTATTATGTCATAAGTTCTATATTAATATTTTCATGCAAATACTATTAGATTTTCAAAAAATCATATTAAATAAAATTGTGAACTAAATACCGAAAAAAATAGTATACATGAGACTCTAGTTTAAGACATCAACTTATCAAAAGACATTATCAATCACATACAACCACCGAACAAGTAAAAATTCTTATGTTTTGCACTCATTTCAATCGTCATATGACTGTCATAGTCTTTAACTAATATTCTTTATATGGTTTAATTTGGGAATTATAATATCCAAATTAGACCTTCCAGTTTTTTAGTTTCTCTAAAATATCACTAATATTTCTAAAATAATTTAATAAAAACAAAATAATCAATACTTAATTTACTATTACTAAAACATACTATTAAATATTAAATTCAGAATTTAATTAAATTTATTGTTAATTCAATCTACCACATAGAGTAAAGATTACTCAAATAAAAACTGGTGAACTATTTACAAATCAATCATTGAAAGTAATAAATGCTAAATTGAAATAATATTGACTTAATTGAAGAAGATTGGTAAATGGTCTGATTTTTAACTAATGATAATATTTTCTAACTATTATTAATTTCAATGAAAAACTATGAATGAATAAATATGGCAGTATAAATAATTTCAGATTTTTTTAACTCTTAGATGCATCATTTAGACATTGTTTGTTTTTCTTAAACTAGCTTTTACATTTAAATATAATATCTAGATATAACATTGTTTGTTTTTAAATTTATAAAAAAAAATATGGGTACAAAAAATCTCGAAACACCAACAATATATGTTTTTAAATTGAACTTTTTCTAGCTATACTCTATACGATTTGACAATTGTAGCAAAAAATAGCAATTTTAGGATTTTGGCACGTAAACACGATTTAAAAACACTATATTGGAAATTTGGCCATTAAAGATGGTCTTATGATGTTGATGGAAAACATAATTATCGGTTTTGGAAGATTTTACAGATTTACGAGTTTTTGTGGGAAAAATAAAATTTCAAAGATTCTATGGAAAAACACAGTTTGGCGGATTTGGTGAGAAAATGCAGTTTATCAAGTTTGGCGGAAAATGTAATTTTATGGGGTTTACGAGAAAACGCGATGACATAAGTTTTACAGAAAACGCGGTTTTGCGAATTTGACGGAAAACCACAGTATTGCCGGTTTGGCAGAAAATATAATTTTACAAAGTTTACGGAAAAATATGGTTTTGCAGATTTTGTGGGAAGACATGGTTTTGCAAATTTGGCGGGAAAAGTCGGGTTTATTGACGTTTGGTGGAAAAATATAGGTTGACGGAGTTTACGTGAAAAAATTTGTTATACATAGTTTACGGGAAACCATAATTTTACAAATTTGGCAGGAAACACGATTTTGCATGTTTGGCAGAAAAATGCAGTTATGGATTTTAGCGGAAAACGTTGTTTTGTAGATTTAGAGGGAAAAATGTGATTTTGCGGGTTTGATAGAAAACACATGATTTTAGAAATTTGGCTGTAAAACACAGTTTTATGGTGTTTTCGAAAAAATGTGACTTTTGGTTTTTGTAGAAAAATATAGGTATGCAATTTTAACAGAAAAATTCGGTTTTGGTGGAATATGCTATTTCAAATTTTCTGGCAAGAAATCCCGTTTCTAGAAAAAAATATAATTTTATGTTTTCAGAAGAAAAATCCAGTTTTATGATTTTGATAGATTACCTCAATCTTATGTTTTTACAAGAAAATTTAATTTTATGGTTTATATCATATTAAAAAGTATTTTGATCTTTTGGATTTTTAGATGCAATTGTTTCATTCAAACTCTATTGTTCTTGGCATCTGAAATATCAAAAAATTTAAGATATTATTGATTCTGCATCCAAATACAAAATCCAGATGATGAATTAGTAGTGTTTAATAGAATATTATTTGAGCATTTACATCTAGATACATCATCTGAATGCAAAAACAGACATGGTCTGATCATTTTTAGAGTGTCAAAAAGAAAAAAAATTTGTACACAGGTATTGTATATCTAAAGCTTGAGCATTGGTGAAAATATTGAATCGTGTCATCAATCACATGATATAAAAAATCTATATAGCGACTTCAAATTTTTACTTTGCCGTTTGATATGCATATTGGATAGTGTTTTTTTTATATTATATTGTTAATATTATATCAATTGTTAATGTTATAGTGTAATATTATATAAATACAGATAAAATCAATTATATTATATTATATAATTTTCAAATTACATTTATTTTACTCTGCACAGAATGCAGATTATTATCTAATATATATATATATATATTAAAATCTGTTTTCATCAAAGTAGATAAATAACCATTAAAGCTTATAGATATTAAAGTTATGTTTTATTTAATTAACTATATCTTTTCTTGAAAATAAATTGTGTTCTCAAAAAAAAAAAATTATAACTAC